AACAATGTATGTGAGGAAAAAATAAGTGTCATTTGACATCTATTTTTAAACAGTAAATTATTTCATACACGTTATTGTGCAAACATAATAAATTTAACCATTCAAGACGGTTTAAATACTTGTAAACCCGTAATAGATAAGTTTTGACTTATATTGCGGTGAATTTTCATAAAGGGTAAGAAAATGAATGCGGAATATAGAAAATATCGTGAAGACATTGGTTTTAAAACCTTGGGACCGAAGTTCGATAATGCCCGTTAGATGGAATTCGAATAATTTTATGATTGAAAATTTGGTAAAACAAAAAAGTTATATTTTTTTCATTTTATAAACACCATGACCAGTAAAATACTATTAGGAATCTTGGTTGGGCCGTGGTTGAAAGATTATATGATATTTTAGGCAATTTTAAAAATGCGATAACACTTTTATCCGATATTTATTATCCAACAAGCCCTTTTACTTTTAAATCAATTATATATTTTGGCAAGTAAGATTGCAGAATACGAAGATCATCACGATTGGGGAATGTTAATGAGTTCAATGAAAAAGAAATTGTTAAAATATTTTATGAACATCCCATTTTCTTTTCTTTGTGTTGTGGCGTTAAACCTGTATTTAAATGTTATCAGTGTTGAAGTTTCAATTATACAAATATGTGTGGCCTTTGATTTAGATACAACTACGGATAATTCTTTTTCAACAGAACAAAGACATTTGTTTAATCGTAATTTTCAAGATTTATTTTATCATTATAAACATTTTTATGGGGGAGGAAACCAACAACAAAGCTCTTCAAGTCGTGTATTCACGGGTTCTAGTTCTTCTAGTGGTGATCGCCAACGTCGGAAAGAGTTGATGACTAATTTAATAAACGAGGTTTTAAATGAATCAAGTAAAAAAACAGATTTGATAACGATTTGGGTGAACTAAATATGTATGTGCATACTAACTTTTTGTGGCTGCATGCCCTGTAAATGATGTCGAAGATTTTGAAAAAAAATAGATCTTTGGAAACAAAAGCAACCTCAATTCCCGGTTTTGGCATGCATGGCATGTGATATACTAACAATCTAAACTAGTACCGTAGCTTCGGAGTCCAGTTTTTCTCTTAGTGGCAGGATCATTTCGATACATCGGAGAAGACTAAGCCCGGAGTCCGTGGAGTGTTGCATTTGTTTGAAGGATTACTTGGATAGCATTGATAGAATTCAACACACGACATCGTTAGAGATAGAAGAAAATTTGGAAGAAAATAAAATCGCCATGAGACTAAGCACGCCGCCAACTACCAATACTGATGGTACTTACTCACAATATGACGATAATGAGGAACTCGACATTGATGACCTTGATGACCAAGAGGCTATTAGAAGAATCCAAGAGACCGGAAGTCTTCAAATCAATCTGACATGGGATACCGATGATGAATAAGTGTATTTTTAAATAATTGAATATTTGAATGTAATTTTAATTATATTTTTAAAGTGTATTTGAGTGATCAAATTACATATTTTATAATGTACTCAAAAAATCCATCATCAAAAAAATTAAAAAAAATATAATTTTTTTGGGTAGGGACAGGGACCGACACCGGCTATGATATCACTGTTCTGGCCAGGGACCGGCTTTGGCCCGTCCCAGGACCGGATGTTGGCCATCACTAATCTACATAGATTGTTCTAAAGATAATTAAAAATATAGAGTAAATTATGGATTTCATCACTCTAATACTATGGTTTTTTGCTTATCATCTCTATAGTTCCTTCATTACAAAAAACTTGAGGTAAATGTTTCAAATTTGGTTTTCGTTCGTCCCCTTATAGGTTGTTATGCTTCAACTGCTAAGTGACTAATGTGCTTTCCACATGTGGAAAAGTTCTGATCACTTTGTTTAAAAAACATGACATGGGATTTTGGGTGAAAACACTAAGGTGACATTTGGTTTACAGATTCTGAAGGAATCTGATAGTTGGAATATTTAATTCATTTGACCATATTTTATTCCTTTGTTTGGTTCGTTCTTTTTACTGGAAGGAATCTTTAAATTCCATCAAATTCCATGAATGAGGGATTTTGACATTCCATGAGATATACATGGTATTTTAATATAATGGAATTTAACCCGTTCATAATTCCCAAAATACCCTTTAAATCTAAATATACCCTAATATCTTTCACAACCGACACCTTTTCTCATCGATCTGGAAAAACTCTCGAGAACATCTTGTCTTCTCGTGCGACACCAAGGCTCGATTCGTCTTTCATCCAGGTTCAATTTCATCTTTACCACAAGCTTGAAAATATTCTCTCTTCTTCTCCAACAGCTTTATCTGTGATTTAGGGGATTTATTGTTCGGTTTATGCTTCAATTTTAGTTTATAGGTTTGATTTTTGTTTGATTTATCATTTCAATTTGTTTATGGTTTGATTTGTTTGGTGTTGTGTGGTTCTATTTATGCTTCACCCTATCTCTCGATTTATGATTTCTATGGTTTCGATTTGTAGATGTTGTATATGTTTGCTATATTGATTTTCCAGATGCTATATCATTTCCAGATACTATATTTGTTTTTGCAAGGGTATTTTAGTCATTTACTATAATTTCATTCCAATTCCAAAGCTACATTATGTGAACCAAACAGACAGACTCCAATTCCTTTAACAGATTCTATTCCAATTCTATCAACCAAATAAGTGGTCAAATCTGACAACATTTCATTCCTTCAGAGTCAAATTCCTTTGACAGATTCCATTCTATCCTAAAACATTATACGAACCAAACATCATCTAAGAATATTAAGCAACATAAGTATTAAACTAGAGGTAGTGGCTAATGGTCGAACAGATGAATAGCACAAACATAAGCAAGAACTTCAAGAAAGCATCATTGCATGCTTAAAATCTAATCTATATCAAGCAACCCACCACCAGTGGTGTTTGGTGGTCACAACAGAAGAAGATCAAAACCCGAAACATATGAGGCTAATATACTCGACTGAGAGAATAAGTTGTTAAAGACAACAGATGTTGGGATACGGGAGCCATACATTCAGCGAAAAAGAATGAGTGAACGTATCAAGTATCATTTCAAATATGATTATGGAAACATACAAAGAAACAAGTCAAAGGAATTTTATAATTTGGTTTTTGTAAATTGTTTGATGTTTTGCCTCTAAAAACATCATAGAACAAAGAGGTTGTTTACCAAATTTTCTACTAAGTTTTGTATGGATAAATATGTCTGTCTGGATAAATTTGTCTCTCTAAATACAAATGTGGTGTTGTTTACTTTTATCCTGAATTAACATTTTGAATGATAGAAATGACCGTTTCACCCTTCAATTCATCAAATTCATGGTTTGCATCTCTCATCGTACAAAAGATGAACTTTGACACAATTTTTTAACTCAATCACAAACAATTTTGTTATTGTTTGAACCAATTTTTGTTTACACCAATTTATCATCAGTTTACACATAAAAAATTGGCATATACAACCAAAATTAACAATATGAACTATACCTGTGGGAATGAACAGTTCAAAGTCGAACAAGACATCAAAAAACCAAAATTTAAAATCAAGAGAGATGAGGTTCATTAGGGTTGGGAGCGATGAACAAGGAAGATAAATGAACATAGCATATCGAATAGGGTTGGGAAGAGAGTTTCGGTTAGAAATTAGGGTTTCTTTTAATTAGGGTTGGGAGGGAGATATAGAGGTCATTGGGTCTTGTTTCTTGATGAAGTGCAAATAAGGGAAGGAGGTGCAAGGTTTCAGTTGTTGGGAGAAGCAACGACAAGGGAAGGAGATGCAGAGAAGAGAGGGTGAGAGGTCATCGCTGAAGAATAGAGAAGAGAGGTCATCAGTCGTCGGGAGAAAGTGCAGCGATTGTACCATAGGTCGCCGGAGACAATGAGCAACAACTTTATTTTGGCTTAATGGGGACAATAGAACCCTTCCATGTTTTGCAAATAAGTTAATAAAATTATCATTAATTCACAAATAAACATCAATATAAAGTTGTGATTAAGTCAAATATAAATACCTCTAAGAAAATTTTAAAATAAATTGTAGACCTAAAATGATTGGTTGGCTAGAAAATTCCCATATCTTAGAATTTTCTATTTCATAAATAGGCTCTTAGCTATATAATTTATCAATCTTATTACAATTAGGTTATTCTACACTTATAACTTTAAAAAAAAATTAAACACATTACATAAAAATAAAATTAATTTAATTACACTTTTTCATTAATTGAATTCTTAAATCACCATTAGATATGATTCCATCCTTTGAAAACCAAGAGAATTGCAAACATTTAGTGAGGTGGGGGCATTGTGGGGATAGGGGTTGGTGAAACATAGGTGTCCTCTTTTAATAAGCTATAAATCCTTTTTGTTAGATTCACATAATATATTTACTTTCTAAGCAAAAAGTCTTAAACATATAGTTTTTAGATTTTACTTTTTGCTTAGATATCGATTGAATTAGAGACACACTGAAACGAGAATAATCAAATTGATAACGTATATTGAAGGATAATTAATATACGTTATGCTAGATTTTTAAGTTTCAGTTTCAGAAAACGACCATTTTCAAGAAATTTTAGGATCATGATACCCCAACTAACCATCTTATCTCTTCCATGAATGATCTTTCAAATTAAATACATGACACCATCACTGAATTTACTTTTCGCTCCTCCGAGCACGTCAAGTCAACATCAAAGATGCGTCAATGAAATTCTGTAATTTAAAGCTCGGGTCTCCTAACAAACTTTATCATAACAATCATCGTATGGTTCAAATTAATGAAGTGAACTACCATTATTTGGAAAACCTAAAAGCATCATCACCAAACCGCCTTTTTATTTCAACTATTGCTATAGAAATCTAAAAAACAACAGTTTACTTGATAATACGCGACAATGACAAAGTTGCAATGAAATATGATCCTTGTCGAACTACCTATAGAACGCTTGGGGCATGCAAAAATCTCCTAAACTAACTATTATTGATAAACCTATACATATTTCAAATCTTGTTGGCGTACGTAAAAAATCTTATATCATTTGGGATACAAAAAAAGGCAAAAACAACGTTCTACGTAAATAATTTGTATTGAGATTTCTTTAATCTTGATCTCGTTTTGTTTCTTTTTACTAATCATAATCTAATCTCCCCTAAATTGAAGAATACCCACAAAATATTGAAGAAAACAGGTACATTTAGAGGGAAGAAAATATTTAAACATTTGTTGAAACCACCTTGATTTGTTGCCTACCCATAAGCCAAAGTAGAGTCCTCCTTGCAAAAGATGGTGGATTTGAAGCATCTGGTGGTGAATCAAAGCAATGAAAAGTTTGAATTTCTGGATCATTCTCCCACCTCTTCATATCCACATCAGAATTAGCCCTCCTGTTGGCCTTAAATTCATTCCGGTGTACCGGAAAACGGAATGAGAAAGACCCTCTTGATGATGGCCCAATGGCGGCAGCCACCATTGAGTTAGGTTTCTCTTTCTTCCCTCTAAGCCAAATCTTGGACACTGAAAAGCTCTCCCTCTTGCTTTTACCAATGGCAGCACAACCTCCGCCACCGCCACCACCACCACCACGAAGAACGTCTATTCCCTTGAAGTCTCTTCTTGAATCACCACCACACTCCGACATTGCCGGCCGGTGACCTGGGGTGATTGGAAGAGAAGATTTCTTGCTAGCTTGTTTCTTGACTCGAGCTCTAATAGGTACTTGTAAAGATGAATTCTCATCCATTACATATTCAAAAGACCCCATTGAAAAACACCTCCTAGCATCAATCGTTTGCTTCTCACTACTATCCTCGCCCCCACCACCACCACCACCACCACCACCACCATCTACGTTCTTGAACTTCCCAAGCTTAATGGTAACCACTTTCTCCTTGTTTTCCTCTTTCACCATTTCCGACTTACCAAATTCAGATTCCTCATTACTCAGATGGGAATTCACCGTTTGGATTGATGAAATATTGGGTTCAGAGTTAACAATCTCTCTAGAAATCTCACTACTCCCAGATTCAAGAACAAGCACAATTGGGGAACAAGTATTTGAAGAGAAATCAGAAAGCAAACTGCCTCTACAAAGAGGGCAAGTAGAGTGAGACAATAGCCATGTATCTATACAATCCATATGAAAAGCATGGCTACATTTAGGCAATAACCGAAGCTTATCTTCACCTTCAAACTCACACAAACACACAGCACAATCAAAAGGGTTTTTCACACCGATGATCGATTTGTAGGTGAAAACCGGCAGTGTGTCAATGAAAGATTGGTCAACACCGGAATCATGGAGATGGAAGAGTTGCTGTAACTGGCCTTGAAGAGCAGTCACATTATCAAACTCATCTGGATCCCGGTTAGATGGCCTCATAAGGAATCTAACAAGAAGATGAAGCAACCCAGAAACAAAGAAAATGATAGCAATGATTATGATGACGAGTAGAACACTTGGACTCACCTTATCGTTTAGATTGAAGCGGTGTGATTGAAGGTTGAGGGTGTCCGGAAGAGGCGGTGGCGGTGGTGGAGGAAGTGGCTGACTGTAAAAGTAAGGCCTTTCATAGCTGGAAACAAGGATCCTCCGATCCATTTTTGAGGGATGCAAGAAGAAATATATAAAGATTGAATCTTTCACCAATTTTCACGAAAATTAAGAGAACCTCATCTCTCAAATCGCATAAACCGAAGAACCCACAAAGGATTTTCAATATCTTTGAGTTATATAAGTGCTTGGACGGAGTTCTACCAGTCAAAATGAGATGAAGAGAGAGGGATGAAAATGGCAGTCTGGTAGAAACAGGTTTTGCAATTAAGAAAATAGATTTAAAAAATAAACAGAAATAGCTCAATAGCAACGCATTTATTGATGGATATCATCAAGTTGAATACATTGTTTTTTATAACCAAGAAGAAATATAGCAACATATACACTGTATCATTAAAAATGTATATATGAATCGACGTTACATATTGTTGATATGAGTTTACATATGTATTTTCAAATTGATTTTTCAATAATTCAGATATAGGTTATGTTTAATCTTTAATTTAGTTTTTTTAACCTCCCAAAATATATATATGATATTTAATTTCACGTAACATTTTAAATGTGATTGTACCCATGATTTTTAAAAGATATTCTTCTCAAAAAAATCAAAGGAGACCTCACAAGAAACTGACACAAATTCATGGTGATTATGAGTTCTTTTGGTCCATGAAAACATATGAAAATGACTCGTAAAAAATTATATTCATATAAATATTTAAGGGATGTTTGGGATTGTTTATAAAAATAATTTATTGACTTATTCCGTTGTGACATCGGTAATAAACATTTTTGAGTGTTTGAATAAACAACTTATACCGGTGTCAAACCGGTAATAAGAAGTTTTTGAAAAAGTTAAACTCTTCTGACTTATAATAATTTGATAAATGCTTTTATAGAAAAACATAAATTGTTTCAAATAAGCAATATCAAACACCCTCTTAGTTATTATTATATATTCTTCAATAAAATTGTAATTCCCTTAGTTATTATTATATATTCTTCAATAAAATTGTAATTAATATAGAACATGAAAACAGTTTTCACATTACAGAACTTATGTTGATATTTAACAAAAAGAAAATTAATATTCCATTTTCATCAACTACAAAGCCCTTTAAGTTGACTTCAAGGAGAAACCATCCCACATCTCTATGCACATTTAATACACATCAATTAATATAATGAACACACAGTAATTTCCGGGAACATTTTATAAAATCAAAAATTTCAAAACTAATATCATCAATTAAATCTAAACTAATTTTATAGTTTACAGTTTTTTATTTGATTGTTTATGAAAAAAATCTCGAACAAACTAACCCAGAATGATTTTCAATAGATTTGATTCAGATAAAATGACAAAATATGGTGAGAAAGAAGAACAAAAGGGTTAAAAAAAGGTTTATATGTGAGTTGTATATGTATACAAACCAATGTTAGTGATTATTCATATAGATTCATATATGAATATTTCATTTTTTATCATCTTATGATATATGATGTTATTATTTGAACCTATTCATATTAATAAATAAATAATAACTATTGATGAACTTTCGACAAAATATGTTTCGGTAGATATGTCTAAATACGGACGGAACCAGTGCAGTGCATACGGTGGCACGGGTCACCACTTCGTTCCTCCGTCGTAGTGTAAAAAATTATAGGTTCGTGAAAAATGTCATCTTATCAATTTATTGTATGTCACCATATCTATTTTGAAACTATCATACAAGTTTATTTTGTTAGAGTTGGTTTATAAGACTTTTTCCACCTTAGACCCAAGTTTGAGTCTTGTTAGTGTCCTTAGTTTTTATCTTTTAATTTTAAATTTGTTATGTTTATAAAAAAATTACTATAAAACAAATGACTTTTACCCACAAAAATCACTCTGAGAATTTTTTTGTTGTGATTGCTGACAGATCCCTAGAAAATACCAATGGTTCGGTAGAATCCAATGTTTTTCGAATTATCCAAAGATTCTATAGGTAATCTGTCACTGGTTTGAATCATCCATTAACAATTTACCTACCAACTTTTGTGACAGTTGTGTGACGAATCATGCGACGGAATTTTTAGAGAAAAGTTTGTAAGCAAAAATCTTTCGTAAAATAGTGCTTTTAATAAAAGATTTGAATACAAAAAAAAAACAATGACCTTTGTGTATAAAAAACTAAGAACATTCTTTAATTTAACTCAAATATTTAATAAAAGATTACTATAAAAATAAAAAAAAGCGAATGTATTTTGATGATAGCTTTTTTAATTAAAATTTAAATATTAAATTCCAAAAATAATACGTAAATGGGTTCCAGTTAGACTCTCCTTTGACTTGTTTTTTCTTTCCATTTTTCTCTCCCAAGATTTCACCATTTCCAAAAGTTGGTTTTCTCTTTCCCTATTTTGCCCCTGTCTGCTTTGACTTTCAGTGTCCTCCCAAAGTTGACCATAAACCTATGCTCTTTTTTTGTCGTCATCCCAGTAGAGGTTAAAAAAGGAGAAGGAATAGAAACAGCTCGAAAAGAGAATGTGATTAGGGGTTCAAATTTCAATTTTTATTTTTTCTATTTTTACTTAACTTAAATAATTATATTTTTTTCTTAAAAAAAAAAAATCTTTTCCACATACATTGAGTAAATAATTATTTGAGCAAATTACATCTTAGTAATTCGTCGTATTTGAACTTCCATAGTTACAAGATGATTTTTATTCCATATTGAATTTGAATTTGAAACCTCCAGACAATTTTAATCTTTGGAGTTCAAGTTTAAACCAATCAGGCAATTCAACCATAAAACATTACATTTATTTATAATACTAATTTATTAAAATATAATTAATTATTATGGTAAAAAATAACTATTATCTAACTTTGAAGATAATAAACAATATTTATTAGTAAAAACATTATATTTATTTATCTTATCAGAATTATGAATAATTGATCTCGACCGATGAAAAAATTCATCCAAATTTCTATTTTTGAATTGGAGCACCTAACAACGCATCTTCACAAACAAAAGAAATACGAGATACCCTTTCTTATTTGTTGGGCCGGTATTGGGGACATAATCCGATCAAATATCTCTATTAATACTGTATTGAATAAAGACCTCGTGATTTTATATTTTTCTAAATTTTAGTTTTCCTACTTAAATTACGTCGTTGCAATTTATGTTATTATTCGACTATGAATGTTTTGTCAATCAAAATTATTCAAATATTTGATAAAAGTATTATACTTTTCAAATTAATTACATTTATTCACAATTTGAAAATATCAAACTTAAACTTCAAAATATAAATCATAATATAATATCAAGTAAACTTGTTAAGGCGACAATGACAAGGTTCTATAAACCATATTTTTATAGAAATCTAAAAAAAACAGTTTACTTGATAATACGCGACAATGACAAAGTTGTAATAAAAAATGATCCTTGTTGAACTACCTAATAGTGTTCTTTAAAATAATTAATACGATACTTTATTTCAATAATGTCGTAAAAGAATTTGTTAAAACACACAAAAATGTCTTATAAACTTATTGTAACATTTTTGGATATGACGGTGTATTGTTTGGTTCTATAAACTTAGTCTTATAAGGTATATTATTATGACACATATATATTTTAAGTGTTCTATAAACTTATTTTTGTTGTGGTGACGTTACTTTCAAGTTTCAAGTGGTTATATTTTTTTAAGGATCATTTCATAAAACAAAAAAAAGAGAAGTTCAAGCTTCTGTAAGATTGGAAAACCCACAAAACGGAACATATCCCCAACATTAATGGACAACAAGGTAAAAGACCACAATGAAAGACAAAAACACGAACCCAACAATTACCATCGTGGCTGATGACAAAACGACCAACCCCACAAATTAAAGATTTGACTCTAAGATTGATTTCAGCTCTTCGAACACTTGACAAAGCAATACTCGAAGGATTCAATCTCAAAGAGAAGAGAAACATTGTTGGAATGAAGTGGCTACATCGAATAACATGAGTTTGGGGATACTGACTTTATTGATGAAACCACTGTATAAATAAGTGAATGAAAGTGAGAGTGTACGATTAGGCACTTTAAGATATGATATTTTGAGGTCAATGGAGACATTAGCATCGACTCACGGCGACAGTAACAAGGATTTTCATGTATGATACTTTCATAGTTTCACCTAGCTAGTGTTATTGTGAATTTACAGTTACATTATATGCTTGAATCGCCTTGTTATGATGATCGATGGGGATAGTGAGTACTTTCTTTGGTTATAGAGCAATAATGCATTGATGTTTTGTAGTGTTGTCACCTTGTATGACAGTAAAGTATGTTAATCATTCTAAATTGATCATGGTGGGTCAGAGATATCGATTAAGTTTGAATCATAGGCTTGTTAAATGACCATTATTTTGGGAAGAAATTAAGGTTAATCGTCTTCGTAGTGGATTATCGACTTAAGATATCGGAGTTTTCAAATGTTGGTTATGTGCCTGGTAGACTTGACGAGTGTGGTTCTAGGACTTCATACATGATATTATCTGTGAAAATAAATTGCAAAAATTGTTACATTCTTTGTCAAAACTCTCGAAACTGTTATGCTACGAAGTTTGGAGAATGTTTTAGCAACATGAGCATGTAGCTCATGCTTTTAAATACATGAATTGTTTTGTTGCATAAGATTTACATACGAATGGTTATTGGAATTTTGCCGGCATTGGGGAGTGTTGAAAGCATATGGTTGGGTAGCTTTAAATTTTGAAAACCAACATGAATCATTACATGTTTACCCAAAATACGTACTCAGGTTGCGATAAAAATTTGAGAAATTATTTGGTGCACACAAGTTTTGAGTCAAGTTTTAAATTGCAAGGAACTACTTTAGTTCGTATATTTGCATACAAGTTTTGTTGGGAATTTTCTACATACTACTATTTCTAAAATTGCAAATTATTGAAAAGCATATTGTTATATAGTTTTAGATTTGAAACTGACAAAAAAGTATTCCATTTCTTACCCAAAATGTGTGTACCATTTTGTTACTAGTTTTGAGAGGTAAACCGATGCATGAA